GGATCGATCCTATAGGCAGCCTGCAGCAAAGAAGGGCCAGGCCCATCTTAGTGGAGCTCGGAAACCCTGTAGTCCGGGACCTGATGCTCAGGAACTGCAAGAAAATCGAGCGGGTCACTATGGGGGAGGTATCAGCGCACACCTGATACGCGAAAGCAGGGATCACAGCAGACCCCAAAGCTTGATCTGTATCCTCTGGAAATCAGGCGAATTAGGGATGACTTATTTCTTCTACACCACCTGTTCTCCTCGGGCCTAGTAGATAAGTTCTTCACTTTAGCCCACACGGGTGGAACACGGGGTAATAGCAAAAAGCTATACAAACCTCAAGCCCGAACCACACTTCGCACATCTTTCTTCACCTTCAGGGTAATTGCTCGCTGGAACGCATTGCCAGAAGAGATAGTCTCTTCAACAAGCAAAGCGTCATTCAAGTCTCGACTTGATGAGTATCTAGGTTTAGTTGCCTCGTCTTGAGGCCTCTTTTGAAAACCTACATATATGTATATATATTCCAAAACAAAAAAAATAACAAAAGAAAAATCAAATTTTTGATTGTTGTTTGTTATGTATTTTACTGTAACCCTTTTTAGTTGTTTTATGCCAGCCCATTTACTACAGCTCATTGTTACATTTATTACCAATGTTGCCAGTATAACTAGCATCGCTAGTCCCTGGACAAGACGATATATTGCCCCTCCAGTTTTCTCTGATTTTCCAGTTGCATTCTCCAAGAACAGACGACAAGAAACCATCAAGGATCCGGAACCATTGGGCGCCAGCCTCGAACTCGAGAGTCATTTCAAGACTTCAAGATACCTTCCTCGCTGATTATATGTCCAAAATATTTAACTTCCTTTTGAGGAAGCACACATTTTGCCGGTTTCAGCCTCAGCCCAGCAGCACCGATCTCCGGGACTACCTCCTCGAGATTGTTCAAATGTTCCTCCGGAGTGCAACCAAGGACAATAACGTCGTCGAGGTAGACTAGACATTTACCGGGAACCAAGTCATTCAATACTGTGGACATCAGTCGCTGGAAAGTGGCGGGGGCGTTGGCTAACCTGAAAGGCATTGTTTCAAATTCGTAGGTCCCGGTGGGAATATAGAAAGCTGTTTTGTCACGATCGTCGGGATGTACTTCCACCTGCCAAAAACCGGATTCCAAGTCTAGCCTGCTGAAGTATTTCGCCCCTCCCAAGGTCTCTAGAGTGTCGTCAATGCAGGGGAGAGGAAAACTGTCCTTGCGAGTAACCTGGTTCAGACGTCGGTAATCCACGCACAGCCGCAATTCTCCCGATTTCTTCTTAACTAAGACTATGGGGGATGACCACGGAGATTGGGACGGCTCAACTACACCTTCTCGTATCATTGATTGAACCATCCCTTCTAGCAGTTTCCGGTAAGCTACGGGCNGTCGATGCGATGTTGAATTACTTTGGTACAACCCAAAGGTACACCGTCCCAGGCAAACGCCGATTTGTGGCTGTCTATCATCGCCTTCAATCTCCCTTGCTGTTCTTCGCTCAATAGTTCCCTGGTATTCTCTACCATGCGCGACACCTGGACAGGGAGATCCACGGTGTGGAGTTCCAGTGCCCAATCCTCCTCGCTTGCTTCGCCTGATTCCATGTGAATTTCTTTCCCGTCGAAGGTTAGAATGTTCTTACTCAGGTCGAGGCATATTTCAAATGGCGTGGAAAATCAATTCCCAATATCATCTTCCATGGCAGATTCGAGGCGACCACCATAGGTTGCTTGACCTTGGGTCCCCGTCATCTGCAATTCGACGTCCAGACAGCCCCAGGTTCGGAGAGGAGACCCGTTGACGGCTTTCACTCGAGGGCCGCCTCGGCTTAGCTCACGAATCTGACACTGATCTACGTCGATAAGACTACACGTGGCTCCTGTATCGACCAAAGCACTAACATACCAACAGTAAGGAGTAGGGGAAAACACTGAGATTCTATTGGTCCACGTATAATCGGCAAATAAACAGAACGCAATGGTGACTCACTTGGTTCCTGTTGTTGCCGCCTGCGGGCCGTTCCGCCGTATCTTTTGGGGTTTGGTGCGCCAGGGGACTTGTGCTTCGAATCTGGGGCCGTTGACCCGCGAGCTGCTCGCTTGTTTTGGCTCTTCAGACCGTCTTAGTGCCTCGTTTTTGACTAGGCTTTGGATGTCGAATGTCTTTACCCTACGGACCGCTTCCCCCAGAGTGGTAGGGGCTCGCCTTTGGAGCTCACACTTGGCAACGGGATTCAACAGTCCCTCTCGAAACCGCTCGAGAGTAAACTCCCGTTGGACTTCCTTGGACTTCTCAGGAAACCCTCGACTGACCAGTATTCTTAATTCATTCGCGCATTGTTCCGCCGACTCACCTGGTCTTTGGTCTCTTCACCAGTAGTGGTGTCGGAGGGAGGAGTGGTTGACCTGACCTGGGAACAATTCCCACAAGCTGTTCCATACGGACTCTGGGGTGAGTCCTCGTCCACGTTCTCGTTGATCAGTAATTCTTGTTTCTGATCACTTAAACGATCCAGGATACACAGACTGTGTTCTTCTGTTGGCACCCAACGCAGGAACCTTTGTATCTTCGTCTTCCATAGTGTCAAATTTGTTCCAGCTTCAAATCGCGGTGGCGGCCCCAACTGTATTGCCGGCGCAGCCGTGAATGTGACTTGCGGTAGACGCGTCCTGACAGTCGGCGGGCTGGCACTTTCGTCGCCCCTGTAATCTCCGGATTCTTTCCTCGGAGATCCCATCCCCGTCGCCGAATTTGTAACACACAGACGCAGGTTTGGGCCACACAGACGATTGTGATCTGAAAGGGATCGTTGAGCAGACATCAGCGAAATATCTTGGCGCACACACAAGAACAGTCAGACGAGAATGGTATCGATCAACCCTCAGAAGAGAGAAGACGTAGACCGGGGCACATCGTGTATTGGAGAAAAGTCAACCATTACTCGATTTCTGTACAAGGGAGGTGCAATCGGGGGGCTAGGGGCAACTGTCCGGGAGGTCTTCGGGATTTGTGTGGGGTTAGTTAGGGAGCGTGACTTGAGTAGCATTCATGTCTGGAAGGGAAACAGAGAGGCGAATGACAATTAATGAAATAATGACATGAATACATAATGAACCGGTCAAACCAGCTTGTTGCCCCTTACAATACCACGTTCTTGTATAATGACATTCAAGTCAAACACTCTTTGCGCTACAGCAACCAATGATCCGTTCAAACAACGATATCTCGCAATCGGCCCCTGTGTAAAGAAACAAATTTATAGCCAGTGTACGTCAACCAATTCGCACTTGAGTGACGCGTAGCCGAACCGATACGAATCC